ATACATATATGAAATCATTTTGGTGCATATCCTAAACTAATGCAATATCACACATCAATCATATCTTAGCAGGACTGGTGGGGAAAGTGGAAAATACCTAAATAGGACCCAGAATTCAGAATTCATAAAAGAAAAGGCTGCTAAAGTTGATGACAATAATAATTAAATTTCTTTTTTTTTTTTTTTTAATATTTTATTTATTTACTTGACAGAGAGAGACACAGCGAGAGAGGGAACACAAGCAGGGGGAGTGGGAGGGGGAGAAGCAGGCTTCCCACCGAGCAGGGAGCCCGATGTGGGGCTCGATCCCAGGACCCTGAGATCATGACCCGAGCCGAAGGCAGACGCCCAACCACTGAGCCACCCAGGCGCCCCAATAATTAAATTTCTTTATGGCAAAGACAGAAATTATAAGCAGGGCCAAAATATAACATATTAGAGAAAAATTTGCAATCCACATCACAGGCAGAGGTGAATCTCAAAATATAAGTAAAAGATCAAAATACAAAATAGAATCAGGACAAAGAATAAACAATTCAAAGAAAGGGAGTGAAGTGGACCCAAATCATAAAAAAAATGTTCAGCAAACTAAACTGAGATGTAAAAACAGGTTTTTATCCCATTGTCAAAACTCCTACCTTTGCAAAGCTACTCCTCAGTGCTAACTTAATACCATGGATTCTTACTTGAATCACCTGAATAGCTTCCTAAATTGTCACTGCTTCAACCAGTGCCCCACTAGAATCAATTCTTAAACAGGAGCGACTGATTCTTCTAAAATGTAAAATAGATCATGTACTTTCATAGTTCCCAACCCACCTTATCACTAAATGAAAAGCTATTGTGTGTTCAGGGATTGAAAGGCTCAGTATGCTCCAATGTCAGTTCTGTTAGTTCTCCCCAAGTTGATCTGTAGGTCTCATATGATCACAGGCAAAAATCCCAGTAAACTTTTAGGAGATAGAATGATTCTTAAAGGAAAAGGATAGGACCTAGAATATCCAAAATAGGGGCACCTGGGTGGCTCAGTCGTTAAGCGTCTGCCTTCGGCTCAGGTCATGATCCCAGGGTCCTGGGATCGAGCCCCGCATCGGGCTCTCTGCTCGGCTGGGAGCCTGCTTCTCCCTCTCCCACTCCCCCTGCTTCTGTTGCCTCTCTAGCTGTCTCTCTCTCTCTCTGTCAAATAAATAAAATAAAATCTTTTTTTTTTTTTTAAAGATTTTATTTATTTATTTGACAGAGAAAGACACAGCGAGAGAGGGAACACAAACGGGGAGTGGGAGAGGGAGAAGCAGACTCCCTGCCGAGCAGGGAGCCCGATGCGGGACTTGATCCAGGGACTCCAGGATCATGACCTGAGCCGAAGGCAGTCGCTTAACCAACTGAGCCACCCAGGCGCCCCAATAAAATAAAATCTTAAAAAAAAAAAAAAAGAATATCCAAAATAATTCTGAAGAGAACAAAGTTGAAGAACTCACATTACAAGATACATAATTAATCAATTACATGTTAATTAAAACATGTAATTAAAACAATAATCAAGACAGTGTGATAAAGGCAAAATGATACACAAAACAACGGAACAGAGTCCAGAAATAGAGGGACACATGGTCAAATGACTTCCAACAGAGATGCCGAAGCAATTCAATGGAGATAAAGTACCTTCTTCTTAACAAATGGTACTGGAAGTAATAAAGCTCCGTAAGACAAGGAGAAAAAAAAAAAACTTTCCTTGAACTGCTACAACTTGTATCATAAACAAAATTAAAAAAAATTTTTTTTTAAATTAAAAAAAACTCAAACTGATCATAAATGTAAGATCCGTAACTATAAACTTTTAACAGATAACATAGGAATATATTTGTGACCCGGATTAGGCAAAGATTCCTTAGATGGGACCAAACAAAAAAAAAGAAAGAAAAAACAAACAACCCATAAAGTCTGATATTTTGATAAATTTTAATTGATCAATTAAAAATGTTCTTGGAAGACAGCATTAAGCAAATGAAAAGATAAGTCATGGATTAGAATACATCCATAAAACATTCCCAATAAAGGACCTGTATCAGAATATCTAAACAACTCTCAAAATCTGGGAATAAGAAAAACTCAATGAGAAAAAACCAACAAAAGATTTGAGAAAAGATCTGATATTTCACCACGGAGGAGGTACAGATAGCAAATACGCAAACGAAATGATGTTCAACATCATCAGACATCAGATTAAACTAAAAACAAAATGAAATACCTGTACAAACCTAGCGGAGTGGCTTAAATTGAAAAAAAAAAAACAAACCAAAACCAAAACCAAAAAACCAAAAAACAAACCCAAAAAACAAAAACAAAAAAACCCAACACTGCTTCCTCATCCCAAACTGACAATACCAAATGCTGGCAAGGATTCAGAGCATCTAGAAATCTCAATGGCACGGCCACTCTGAAAAACAGTATGGCAGCATCTTATGATGTTAAACATACACTTACTACAAAACCCAGTATCCCACACGCTCTCTTAATCATTTTCTCAAGAGGAATGAAGATATGTGTCCATGCAAAAAAGACTGAAAAATGAACACTTACTGCGGCTTTATTCACAAAGCCAAAAGGTGGGAACACAGATGTCCACCAACTGGCAAATGGATTAACAAATTGTGATAGATCCAATCATTGGACAACGGGACACCCTACGGAAAGATGCAACAGCATGGATGGGTCTCCACTGTATTATGTGGGTGAAAAGTGTGACGGCCTTCAATTCCACAATCTGCCCTCTTTTACCTATTCAGCCATGCTGCAGCCATGCTGGCCTACTGCTATTCTTGCTGGTTGTAGACCTCTGGTCCACCCTGCCCCAGGGCACTTGCACTGGCAGCTCGCTTGGCTTCCAGTGTTCTTCTGTAGATACCCAAAAGCTTTCCTTCCTCACAACTGTCAAATGTTTTTTCAAGTATTTTCTCAGAGAAGCCTATCTGATTAACTTATTTAAAATTAAAACTGGTCCTCACAACATGTTCCTTGTTTTATTTCTTCTGCATCAATTATCAAAAAACAAAGTCTCTTAAGTTTACGACCCCCCATCACCTGGATGTAAGCGACATGAGGGCAGACATCTTTGTCAGCTGTTCATGCAGTAACTACCACAGTGAGCACTACAGGTGCTCAATATACCAATTTTTAAAAATTAAATTAAATTTTATTTAAATTAAATTAACATATGGTATATTATTAGTTTCAGAGGTAGAGTTTGGTGATTCATCAGTTGCATATAACACCCAGTGCTCATTACATCACATGCCGTCCTTAATGCCCATCATCCAGTTACCCCATCTCCCCACCCACCTCCCCTCCAGCAACCCTCAGTTTGTTTCCTAGAGTTAGGAGTCTCTTATGGTTTGTCTCCCTCTCTGGTTTAGTCTTTTTTTCTTAAAGATTATTTATTTATTTATTTATTTGAGACAGAGAGAACGAGACAGAGAGCACATGAGAAGGGGGAGGGTCAGAGGGAGAAGCAGGTTCCTTGCTGAGCAGGGAGCCCGATGCCGGACTCGATCCAGGGACTCCAGGATCATGACCTGAGCCGAAGGCAGTCGCTTAACCAACTGAGCCACCCAGGCGCCCTCTGGTTTAGTCTTGTTTTATTTTTCCCTCCCTTCCCTATGATCCTTTGATTTGTTTCTTAAATTCCACATATGAGTAAAACCATATAATTGTCTTTTCCTGATTGACTTATTTCGCTTTGCCTAATATACTCTAGTTCCATCCACGTCGTTGCAAATGGCAAGATTTCAATTTTCTGATGGCTGAGTAATATTCCATTGTGTGTGTGTGTGTATGTGTATATATATATACACCACATCTTCTTTACCCATTCATCTGTCGATGGACAACTGGGCTCTTTCTGTACTTTGCCTGTTGTGGACATTGCTGCTATCAATATGCCAATTTTGAATAAACACTTCACATGCAGCAAAACAAATATAACCACCACTATGGAGGACAATTCTACAGTATTTAACAAAATGAAGCAGCATTTAACCTCTGACCATTTTAGCTTATAGTTTCACCCATACAAACATAAAATTATCAACAACCCAAATGTCTCTTTCAAGAGAAGGCTGGCTAAATAATCAGTATTTTACATAATGGAATACTATGCAGCTATATAAAAAATGAAGATTTTTCGGGGCGCCTGGGTGGCTCAGTCGTTAAGCGTCTGCCTTCGGCTCTGGTCATGATCCCAGGGTTCTGGGATCGAGCCCCGTGTTGGGCAACCTGCTCCGCAGGAAGCCTGCTTCTCCCTCTCCCACTCCCCCTGCTTGTGTTCCCTCTCTCGCTGTGTCTCTCTCTGTCAAATAAATAAATAAAATCTTAAAAAAAAAATGAAGATTTTTAAGTATCAATATGGAAAAATGTCCAAATTGTATTTATGAAAAAACAAACTATAAAGCAAGAATATACGGTATGCATAACTGTTGGTTCCAACGAAAATAGTAGAGGACATCATACAGATAGGAACAGGGATGCTAGCAGGAGTAGGGCTTCTCAGCATGTATCCTGGGCCATACGAATACACTATTTATCCAAAATTAAAAAAAAAATGACAGCTGGATATACAGAAGCAGAAGGACCAAAACACTGGGTATATGTTCCCTTAACTCACAGGATTTCGTGTACACTGTCAACATAGAATCTGAGCCCACCCTCAGACCTTGAAATTCTAGTTCCACATTTGGGCCAACTAGAACATAACTTTTGCACGTTTATGACTAAAACAACATCTTAGCAAACTGTCATAGGAAGGACTCTGCTTATACTGATAAAGGGTGCCTACTCGCATCCTAACATTAAAAATCAGGATTAATGGTAAACAGTGTAAAACAGTGTAAAAAAGTAAAGCTTAACTTGATCTAAATCTATTTCTACTTTTCTGAATGTATGGACTCTTTATAAACCTCTTAAATCCATCCTAATACAAAGTGAGGAAGGAGTAAAATGCTCACCTGAGATGTGTTCATTTTCTGCACCTCTTGGGAGATTGTAAAGCTCAGCTGGGTGGAAAGAAAGGGGAGGGATCAAGAGAGCTGGCATGCCTCACAGCTCCTACATTCAGTTCCACAAAGTCTCAGCATCCCAGATGGGGCGCAGGCTCCCTACAGGAATAGGGCGTTTGGGCCTTGAAAAGACATGGACTGACCATGCAGAGCCAACAAAAGCTGTCCACATGAGTCCCTGAAGTGGTTACGGGGACATAAACCTGCAGGTTACTACACTTTTTTTTTTTTTTTTTAATCAACTTAAAAAAATAATAGGAAAAACAACAACAAATGATTCGAGTATAGGAACGGACAAAGCACTGCTCTTTCATTAAAATTAACACAGAAAAAAGACTCAGGCTCCATCTTTATCCACTGTCCCAGGAGTACCATTTTACTCCTTGCCTTAGAGAACCCAGAGAGCAAAGTAAACGGGACAGGACGGTGGACACCCTGCTCACTCATCTGAGACTTAGATTTCCCACAGGGACCAAGCGTGTGTTGCTACTTGGACAGGTGACCTCTTACCTAACCCAGAGAAGCGCCAAGAAGCAGACCTTATTATCATCATCCTCACTTCCAGAAGAGGGGCTCTTCCCCCGGTTACAGGTGCGGACCTGAAATTTACCTGGTCTTGGCGGCTCCCCCACTCGGGCTCCACCGCAGACCCACTTCCCTTGGCTTGCCCCTCCCGCTGCGGGGAAGGGTTTCCCCAGGTTGAGCTGCCGGCAGGGTCGGGGTCACGGTCCCCGCACGGCCTGCCCCGCACCGAGCGAGCACCTGCTTCTGACCGGGCTCAGCCCCACCTGCCCACGCGGACCGCAGGCCCCGGCGCGCGTCCCGGGCTCGGGAAGTGCCCCCCGCCCCGGCTGCTCCCCGGTGTTACTCAGCGCCCCCGCACAAGCCCAGCCCCCCACGCTGGCACCCCACGCGCGCTGAGCCCAGCCACTCAGCGCTCTCGCCCCACGTGTGCACCTCCTCCTACGACGGCGCTCAGAGAGGAAGAGGCGGGTGCGAGGGCACATGCGCAGAAGAAAGCCAGAGGCCCCGTTCCCAGAGTGCTGCGCGGTGATCCCTCTGGAGTGGACTACATTTCCCATTGTCCTCTGCGCTCGCTTCTTGACTTCGCGGTATTTTACGCTTTTTGAGACGTTTGGTAAAATGCTGTCGGTGACCATCTTTCTGTCCACGTTGTTTTAGAGCCCCCAGATGTTCCAGTTTTAATGTGACCTTTACAATCCAATGCTATGCTTGCCCCTCGATCAGATCCCGACTGAAAAGACAGCAGCTACCACAGACTATGGGGATAATTTGGGAAATTTAAATATGGGCTGGGAATTAGGAATATTAAGGAACACATGATTACTCTTGTTCGGTGTGAAACTAATATGGGAATCACATAGGAAATATAGTAATCTATTTAACGGCATGAAGAGTTAAGTATTTAGGATTGAAATTATACATTTGTAAATTGGCTTTACCTTTTAGAAGAAAAAACATATATGGCAAGGAAAACTTAAAATCGAAGAATGGATGCTTATTTTGCTGTATTCTAATTTTCTGTGTGGAAAGTAGTGCAAAGTAGAAAACAGAATTTTAAACGGGATCTTCTTCACCTGTGTGCCTATTGAACTCTCAGTGGCTAAGAGAAGTCAAGGGACATAAAAATATCTCCTAGGATTAAGGTTGTGACATTTATATGTTACTAGAAAATGGAACTCCAGTAAAAGTAAAAAAATCTTTTAACCAAAGGAAAGAAAAAAGTAGGGGGAGTGCAGGTACACTTTTCAAAAGTAATTAATGCATAAAAAATGACACAAAGCAAAATGAAATAATCAAGCAAATGTTCAGGGAAATGCAAATCATGCATCTTTTGGAAAGGACTTTGCAGAATATATGTACAGGCACAGAACAAGGGAACTTAAGAACTTTATTGTGGGAGAAATGGTTTTGCAAAGCAATGGAGAAGAGTGGAATATTCAATTAACCTCCTTAGGACTTGGCATTAGGCATCTGGAATAAAAAGAAAGCTACATCTGTAGCTCAGACATCACCAAAAACTTGAATAGGGATTCAAAATATGAACATTTAAAGAAAATTTCAAAGTTCTTCATGGAATTGTTTTACACACACACACACACGCACACACACACATATGTAACCTCAGCGCCTTTCTCAGAAAATGCTCATCCTCCACTCACACCTTGATGCTCAGCAGCCAGAGGCCCCACCAAACCCTTGTTTTTGCCCATAAAGTAATATTAAGTTTTACATAGTCAGATTTATCAGCCTTATTTTTTGGCCTTTGGGACTTGTGTCAGATTTTGAAAAGTTGTCCCAACTTAATTTTCTTTTCAAGTAATTCATATATTTTTGTATCTAAATCTTTGAGATGAAAGTTGAAAGAAAGATGCAGATTTATCCCCTGAATTATGATCCAAAGTGTGACATAATTTAATAACTCAACATTTCCATATAGATGTGAAATGTATTACTTTTTACATTTGTATTTTTGTTTTTTTTTTTACTTGTAACTCATTATTTACTCAGATCTTTCTATGGATTTTATGTTCTATTCCCTGGCCTGTCTATCATTGTACCATATATCACACTGTGTGAATTACTGTAGCTTTATTATGACTTTTAATATTAAGTAAAGCTAATCCCCTCTCATGACTAGTACTTTTCAGAATTTTCCTAACTATTCTCACATGCTATTCATCTAAACTTTAACAAAACTTTTTAGGGTCAAACCTCTAAAAAAACTTATGTTGAGATTTTAATTAGCAACAAACTACATTTATGACTTAATTGGTTAGATATGATATTTCCATAATTGCAATGACACCTTCCAATCTAAGATTAATATAATTTTTTATCTTCCCTAAATCTCTTAACATGAGTTAATAACTTTTCTTATAGATGTTAATTTGGGTGTTTATATATTTTCTGTTTGATTTTTGATATGATTACAAATGGAAATTTTCAAATATTTTCTAACAAGAATACTTATTTACATATAGGAAAGCTATTTATTTTTATTCTTTAACATTATTTCTTGCAGGACTCTATTATTGTTTCACTAGATTTTCTACTAGTTATCTTGGATTTCATGCTCATAATGAAAAATTTGCCTGCTTTCCCCCCAATATTTATGATTATTTGTCATTCTTTAATGAGTTAAAAATAGTTAAGCACAGAAAGGCTGGTGGGACTATGTAAATTAGTCATAATAGAGCTAACATACAGATCACTAATGGAAAGTCGTCAATACATACATTCATTCAACATATTTATTGGAAATCTGCTAAATGACACACATCATCCTACATGCCAGAGTAATGGAGGGGGGGGGATAAAATAAAGATCTACTTCAGTGGAATTTATGATTGCACTTGGTGAAGGGAATCTATTGATCAGGATCTGAGCGACAATTAAATATTATCCTTATATAGGATAATTGAGAAAATTTAACAAAGTCACTCTTGACAAAGAATAGAAAGGGTTAAGGGAAACCAAGAGGGGACGGTGAAGCACTAACTGGTGACAAGAGGAAGACATTACCACCCCCTGAAAGAAAGGAGAGAATATTAACAGAATCTAGCAGTAAAAGCCTTCCCATCCAGAGCAATGATCTTACATTGCAGAGCTCTGCATGGCTAGCTGGTGGCTTAGCACAGGGAGAGGCAGGAGCAAATCTGATCCTCATCCATCTCCTAATCTCCTATTCCTTGATGCATATTTCTCTCTCTCCATTCTGTGTCTCTTCCTAGATGTCTATCTACACACCTTTACTCTAGACCTCCTTATCAACAAATTTCCAGTCTTTTCTTTCCTAGTTCTCTATTGCCATTGAATAAAGAGCCATTGACCATAAATCAGCATTAATCTAAAGTTAAGACATTCCTTCTTCAGCAAATATAGACAGCCAAAATACCTCCCCAAACTGTGCACTGGGAGGATTTGCCATCACCATACCCTTTCAGGGTGACCCCTAAGTGTGGCTGTAAGGAAGCAGGATTTCACTTATAGCTGATATCACCATATCTTGCAGACACATCTAGAAGCCAGTTTTTCCCTCCTTTGTGAACTTAGTATAGTGAACTCCCCGTAGGGCCATAAGGAGAGTTGACAGACAAGGAGTTGAGGAGTAGGAGTAGTTACCACTCAAATGTACACCGTTCGCTTGTGCAGTTTACTTGTATCTTCTGCTCCTGTTTTGGTCAGTTTTGTATTTACCATTAGTTTTAACAGAGTACTAGCATCACACACAGATTATAGCAGTTAATGATGGACAATTTTGGTCACATAGTCTCTCACCATCTCATAATCAGTAATTTACCAAATTATCAAAGTATATCAAAGTATCAAAGTAGAAGCTGCTTGTTTCAATGGAGAATACTTAGCAGCAGAAAGCATGCCTTACTTCAAAACTCTAGAAGTCTGGACTGTGTTCCTTCTGTGGGCATTACTAGAGGTTCCACACTTGATCTCAGACTACACAGACCTTTACAATGCCATTGGGTCTAGTGGGTCATAAGGCTCACAGGATAACACAGTTTGCATCATGTTCTAGACTACCTGCAGAACTTTCTGTTGCTCCAAGCCCCACTAAAAAATGACAGCATTATGGGTTATCCAACAAATAGGTCAGAGTAGTTTGTCCAAAAGTGTTTTAACTTACCTCCAGAATTTAACAATGTCCATCAAGCCTTTGCATCTTCTATGTGGTGGATAGCAAAAATGCAACCAATTGTTTCTCACTTTTGAGGAGCTATTCAAATGTATTCTAGACTACTGAACCTCTAGAGACTTCATTTTTATAAGTTCTTTTACTTTTAAATCCTACTTTCCACTGGCTGTTATGAATGCTTTTTGCTTAGAAATCTAATGGGCTTCTATTTCCTGTTCACCAGTTTTCTAATTAACATAATGTCATCTATTATAGACCAGTGTAGCATTCTCTGGAATATCAAGAGGATCAAGGTCCCTCCAGACTGTATTACCATAAAGCAGGAGAGTGGGTATAGACCTGCTTAAAACAGTGATCAAGCTCAGTTGTCCTTTATAAAAGCAAAACAGCTTCTGGTTTTCTATATTGATAAAGACAGAGGAATAAACATTTGCTAAGGAGTAGCTTGCAGGTACAATGCCAAATTGTCTAAAGATACCATACCTGGAATCATAACCATGAATAGCATTGCTATCAGATTAAATAATATAATTACTACATAACATGATTACTAAATAACATGATTACGACAGAATCCACTCTCAAATGTGCCACATGACACTTGTCTTTATTATCTGGCAAGATTCTGAAGGATCAAAACTCCTGGTGCATTCTCTTTCTGGAGAAGATCAATTCCTCTGTGAATTGCTAAGATTTCACTCGTAATGGATGTGGAGCAATAAGGGGAGGGGAGGAGGTAGGTGAGAAGTGATTCCGTTTCTAAGGTGATTTATGCTGAGAGGAGACTTTGGAATGTGAAAAGCAGGGAGGAGGAAGGTACTGTCTCAGACCATCTAATCCATCTAATTTCTCAGTTCCCCACAAACAATAATTGTTAGTAAAACTGGAAAGGCCTTGAAATTGTTGAAGGCGTGCTAGTTACAAGTAATCCTAACCAGAAAGCTTTGGCAGTCTAATTTCCCAGGCAAAGAGCTCAGAGCACAAATGTGAAAGCATATACACAACATAAATGCAGACATATGTTTACCTAAGAAATGTTCAAGAATTTTCTTAGCAGCATTTTTCATAATAACCCCAAATTGGAAATAACACAGAGGTCAATTCACAGTAAAGCTCTCAATTTTCAAAGAAGCAATAGTTACCCAAAATGTCTAT